CGGAAGGTCCCGGGTTCGAGTCGCGGTCTCCTCGCATTGCACAGGCGAGGGTAAGGCTTGCCACTAACACCCTTCCCCAGACCCCGCATAGAGCGGGAGCTCTCTGCACTGGGTACGCCCTTTTTTTTGAAGATGTGCTTCTCTGTCAGCAATAACCTCAGTGACTGCTTGTGGTGTATCTCAAGTTGGTTGTGGTGTAGCTCCCAAATTTGGCTCATACCCATAAAGTTCCTTGAATGGAGAACAGCCTAGAGCACTGTGGAAGGAGGAATTGTACCACAACTGTGCCAGAGATAGCCAGGCCTTCCATGTTTTTGGGGAATCTTGGACTGAACACCTCAGATACATCTCGAGGCATTGATTAATCCTTTCTGTCTATCCATCCGTTTGAGGATGGTAGGCTGTTGAAAGGGTGAGATTAACTCTGTAAAGCTTGAAGAGATGTTTCCAAAATGTACTGACAAAGATTCTGTCTCTATCACTCACAATAATGTTGGGTAAACCATGCATTTTGACAATGTTGTCCATAAATAGCTGAGCCACAGTAGCTGCTGAATAGGGATGCTTCATGGGTATAAAATGAGCAAACTTAGTTAGTCTATCAACTACCACCATGATAACACTATATCCTTCAGATTTTGGGAGACCCTCAATGAAATCCATGGATAACTCCTGCCAAACACCTGCTGGTATAGGTAGAGGCTGCAGTAAACCAGCAGGATGAGTATGAGCATGCTTACTGTGCTGACAGATATTGTATTGCTTGACACAATTGTCCACATCAGTCTTCATTCCCTTCCAAAAGAATAGTTTCTTCAAGCGTTGATATGTTGCAGTTCTTCCAGAATACCCTCCAATGGCAGAGGAATGAAAAGCAGCAATTAGCTTGGTTTGCAGAGCTGAGTTGTTACCAATCCAAATCAAAGTTCCTTTGCGAATGAGACCTTGGTCTAGAGTGAGACCATTGCTGTTGGGACTAGAGAGAGCCAACTGAGAGAGGAGTTCCTGAGCTTGAGCATCAGTGGAGTATGAATTCAGCACCTCTTGAATCCACTGGGGTTGCAGTTGAGACACAGCTTGCGGTGCCATCATATGGGCCACCCGAGAGAGTGCATCAACTGCTAAGTTTTCTTTGCCTTGTTTATAGATGATTCAAAATTGAAGGCCCATCAACTGTGTCATCGCCTTCCTTTGCATGTCAGAGTGGAGGTTCTGTTCATTCAGATATGATAATGATTTGTGGTCAGTCAAAAGAAGAAACTCCTGTCTCTGTAGATATGGTCTCCACTTCTCTATGGCCATAATCAAGGCAAGAAACTCCTTTTCATAAATGGAGAGGTTCTTATGTTTTTCACCCAGTGCCTTACTCAGGTAGGCTATTGGTTGCCCCTGCTGCATTAGCACAGCCCCAATGCCATCACCACAGGCATCTGTTTCAACCTGAAACTGTTTCTGAAAATTGGGCAAGGCCAACACTGGAGTAGATGTCATGGCCACCTTCAGATTATCAAAAGCTTCTTGAGCTTGTGTATTCCACTGAAATTGCTTGAGTCTAAGCACATTGGTCAATGGTTTGGCTATAATTCCATAATTCTTCACAAATTTTCTGTAGTATCCTGTTAACCCCAAGAATCCCCTGAGCTCAGTCATAGTGGTTGGAGGAGGCCAGTTAAGCATATCCTGAGTTTTAGCTGGGTCAGTGGCTACCCCTTTGTCTGAGATTATGTGACCAAGATACTCCAGGCTTGTTTGAGCAAATGAACACTTGGAGGCCTTCAGATATAGCTTGTTAGTTCTTAGTGTTTCAAACACCTCCTGGATGTGCTGAATATGCTCCTCTCTAGTAGCACTGTAGATCAATATGTCATCCAGGAATACCAAGACAAACTTTCTTAAGAATGGTTGGAGCAACTGATTCATGATACACTGAAAAGTTGCTGGTGCGTTGGTCAGACCAAAGGGCATCACTTTAAACTCATAATGACCCTAATGTGTTTTAAATGCTGTTTTATGCTCATCTTGTGGCAGCATCCTGATCTGGTGATAACCTGACCTCATATCAAGTTTGGTGAAAAATCTAGATCCAGCTAGCTCATCCAAGATTTCTTCCACAATGGGCATAGGAAATCTGTTTTTAATTGTCATGGCATTTAATTTCCTGTAATCCACACGGAATCTCCAATTTCCTTTTTCTTCACTAACAGCACTGGTGAAGCAAAGTGACTGTGGTGGTGAGTGATAAGGCCAACCTCCAACAGTTGCTTCACTTGTGTTTCAATTTCTGTCTTGTGAAGTGGGGAGTAGTGATAAGGCCTTGCATTAACAGGCACTGCATCTGGGTACAATGGTACAACATGATCATAGCTTCTCTGAGGTGGTAACTGCTTGGGGTCTTGGAATAAATCAGCATACTGAAGCAACAAATCTTGCACATCTTCTGCTTGCTTGTGCTTTGGAACTGTGGTTGTTGATACAGGAGCAGGAGGACTGTCCACCACAGCATATGCCCAGATGTCATTTCCTTTGAGAGACTTGAAAACTTGTTTGGCAGTAATTGTGTTTAGAGACAGAGCAGCTGGCTGAATTCCTTTTAGTGTTACCAAACGGCCCTGGTGTTGAAACTGCAAAGTCTTGGCTTGCCAATCACACTGCATGGGACTAAATTTCTTGAGCCAATCAAATCCTAAGATAGCATCATAGGGTAAGAGGTCGAGCACTACCATATCAGTTTGGAAAGAGTGACCTTGGATGTACCACTTGAGATTTTTAACCATTTTAGTTGTAGTCATCCCACTTCCATTGGCCAGTTTAACCTTTTGCTCATCCATAGTTACTGTTGGCAGACCAGTGAGACTAACAAATTGTGAGCTCACAAAACTGTGGCTACTGTCAGTGTCTACTAGTATAAGCATTGTCTTGTTCTGCACAGTGGATTTGAGCCTAATAGACTCAGTAGCTTCTGCTCTAGACATTGCATTCAAAGACAATTGGCAGAAATTTTCAGTCAACATTTCATCAATTGCCATTTCATTGAGAAGATCTTCATTAATTTCTTTATCTAGATCATTCAAAGCCAAGGCATTAAGTTGAGGCTTGGCCTTTTTTGCACAATGTTCAGCATGGCCAGGTTCATATTTCTCCCCACAGTGATAGCAGAGATTGTTGGCTTTTCTGTAATCCCTCAACTGTTTGTCCCTCCAAAGATTGCCATAGATGGATGGTGTCTTGGTTTTAGGTTTGGGCTGTTGGGCTTCGGTAGTTGCTTGCCTATTCTGATACTTCAGTTTCTGCCTGTCCACCAGTTTTTGCTGAATTTTGGCAATCACAACAGCTCTTTCCACTGTAGTTGGGACCTGAGGTTCGACAACAGCTCGAATATCATCTCTAAGACCCCTCACATACTGTGTTGCAAAAAACAGTGCATCATAATTGGAACCATGCATGGATACGTCATATTGCAGTGATTGAAACTTGGTCGTATAGTCTTCCACAGTAGATGTCTGACTCAAATCCAATAGGTCATTGATGGCTGATCTGTGATCATCACTGCCAAATTGTTGTTGCACATCAGAAGAGAACTGTTTCCAAGTGACTGCAGGGTTTGTCTGTTTATAAACCTGCCACCACTTAGTAGCATTGTCTTCTAAATGCATGGTTGCTGCTTCCACCCAAAGATGCTCAGGAATTTGGTAGATGTTGAAGTAGTTGATGCATTTATCCAGCCAAATCTTGGGCTGGGTACCATCTGTCTTAGGAAAATGCATCTTGGGTAAAGTGTGGTGAGGTAAGGTTTCAGTTCTAGGAGATGGCCTATGGGTTTTGAAATTGTGGGATGGCTCTGGTTTTGTGTTGGTTTTCCCTTTTGCAGCAAAGACATTCTCAAACATTGGCTCATCATCAGCTATCACGGATTCACCACTGACAGAACCAGCTTCACACTCAAACTGACGAATAGTGAGCTGAGCCACCGCATGCCCATTTGCTTTGACCTGTTCAGCGATAAATTTTTGATCAGCAGTACATTGTTCCACCTTCCTCGTGGTGTTTGTTAACTGCTGCTTGAGTTACAGCTGAATTGTTCCCATGTCATTAAGACTGGTAAACAGCAGATCAAAGTTCTCCATCACTTGCTCCCATCGAGTCTTCTCATCATTTGCACTGTTAGACATCTTGTCCAAGATAATCTGGGTCTGTGCCGAAGGCTTCGGAGGCGCCGTGGTGCTTGACTAGAGAAGAATATCAAATGAACTTCGGTGCAGCAACAGGTTTAGCTGAGGCCTCCCCTTGCGCGTGCTTCACCAATTCCCCAACTCCTGGAACTGAGGCTCGATCGAGGGATTTTACACGGAAACAGGTGTCCCGCAACCCAAATCGAAGGACAGTTCCCCGCCGTTCGCCACCGCTCAGCAATCGATCACAACTTACGGAATTTTACACGGAGTTGTTGGGGACGAGGGCGGATCGGAGAAGACGGGCGACGCAGCACCGAGATGGGGAAGGGTGGGTGGGGTAGTTGCCGAGGAGAGACCGTCTTTGATACCACTTGTAACAACCCTTGGCCGCCGGCGACGAGCCGACGACGTGAGCAGTACGGTGGATTGCCGGATCCAGCCGAAAAGCAGAGGAACCTTGGGTTCTCTCGCTGTTCTATTGAGTTTAACAATATTCGATAATTGTCTTACAAGAAACAGTACAGCAATATAAGGCACTCGGCCACTGTCTTAGGGACCCACTGGTCATACACTAATACAAAATAGCTAATACTGAATACGCTTTCTTCATTAGCGGATTACGCCTTCCTTCAAGCTCTTCACTCGTGGGCTGTAACACGTTCAGCCACCGTCTCATCTTGTTTACTGCTGCCTCCAGTTTCTCCTGATCACGCTCCTTGAGCAAGACATACCACTTCTGCATAAAGGAGATTCCAGCGTACAAAACATCAGCTGTTTTTTTTTGGATAAAACCTCAACATAGATAATTTGTCTACCAAGCAAATACAAATGGGTGTAAGTTAGCTGCTTCTCTGCTCTTTTTCGTACTTGCTACATGATTCTGCCGCCGGTGTGCAGCTGATGCTGGAGGAGGACACGCTGGCCGTGCCGTTGGAGCAGCGGATGGAGCGGAAGGAAACCCTGCAGAGGGAGCACGTGGAGGAGCACAGGGCTGCACTGCGCCGGGTCATCACGCTGTTGGTGGGGCCGGCGCCTTACGGAACGTTTGACGACGTCGGGCAGCACCACCAGCCGGAGAGGAGCGAGAGCTTCCCGCCGGCGGGGTCCAGGCAGCGCATGAGCTGGAACGATCTGATCGAGCGGGTATTCGACAAGGACGTGGACGGCCGCCTCGTGCTGCGGAGCTCTGTTCTTCTCTGACGGGCGCAGCCTCCCGGCCTCACCTGGGGCTTTGTAAATTCCTTTGGCCTTGCAACTGTGCTGCCGGCTGCTTCTCCCAGCAGAAGCCTCCATTTTCCTGTGTTATTGGTCGTTTAGTGTCATTCGAGCCTGGATTAGTTTCTCCTCAAAATTTTACACCCTATCTCATCGAAATGTTGGACACATGGAGTATTAAATATAGACTAAAAAAATAACTAATTGCACATATTACAACTACTTTGCGAGATGAATCTTTTAAGCTAATTAGTCCATGATTTGATAATATGGTGCTACAGTAGCACATGTGCTAATGACGGATTAATTAGGTTTAATAAATTCGTCTCGCTGTTTACTGACGGATTCTGTAATTTGTTTTTTATTAGTATCCGAACACTCCATGCAATACCCCATGTAACATCCGATGTGACATCCTAAAACTTTACACCCTGGATATAAACAAGATCTTATTCATAAAAGAGAGTTCTGTCTTATGCGCGGCTCATATAGCGCCATCGGAATTGTTCATGTCTTCGGACCCGAACTTCCTGCCGATGATTTTTTCCCGCGCGATGGTTGTGCGGACGGGAGACGCCAATGTGAAGAAGCAGCGCGCCAACGTCAGAGCGGCCATTAGCGTGCGGCCCAACTATAATTTGTTTCTCCTTTTCCTTTCTTATTATTTTTCTTTTCTTTTTTTCCTTTTCTTTTTCATGTGGTTTTCTTTTCTCTTTTTTCTCTTTTTGTTTTTTTATATTTGTTTATTTCGTGTTTCGTTTCTTATGTTTTTTATTTGATTAATGTTTTTTATTTTTTATCTTCCTTTTTCTTTTTTTATCTTCCTTTTTTCTTTTTCTTTAATTTTTGTGCTTCATTTATTTTTTATTTCTTATTTTAATTTTGTTTTATTTGTTTTTATTATTCTTTTCATTTTATCATTTTTATCTTTGTTTATTTCCTTTCCTTTTCTTATTATTTTTTCTTTCCGTATATTTTTTTTTGTTTTTCTCGTTTCATGTTATTTTTCATTATTCTTTTCATTTTTAAATTTTCATTTATTTATTTCTTTTTTGCTTTTTTAGTATAATAAATATTTTTTTGTTTTATTTTATTTATTTTATTATTTTTTCTTTCTTTTTCCTTTTCTATATTTTTAGTATTATGTGATGTTTTGTGATGTATTTTGTGATGTTGACGTAATATACATGTGATATTTTGCGATGTATTTTATGATATTCACATAATATACATGTGATGTTCCGTGATGTATTTTATGATATTTTACGATGTCTATGGTGATGTTCGCATAATATATATGTGATGTTCTGTGTTATATTTTGTTATGTTCACATAGTATATATGTGATGTTCTATGATGTTTCTTTGATGTTTACTTGGTATATATGTGATGTTCTATGTTGTATTTAGTGATGTTCATGTAATATATAAGCGATGTTCTCTAATGAATGTAGTGATGTTCTATGGTGTATTTTGTGATATTCACTCAGTATACATGTGATGTTCTATAGTATATTTTAGAATGTTTGAAAGTTATCCATGTGATGTTCTTTAAATTTTTTCTCTATTACGTGTTTTTATTTTTTCCTTATGATTTGCTCTAAATTTTATTATTGTTTATTTATATTATGTATTTATTATTTATTTTTATTTATATTATAATACCAATTTCATGAACCTAAAACTAGAATATTGTTCTTCTAAATCGAAAACATTTTTTACGAAGACGCAACATTGTTCTCTGAACCTAGAACATCGTCTTATGTCTTAGCTCGATAAATAAAAATGTTCTATCTTCATAAAACAAATGTTCGCTAATAAAATTTTTATCTAAATATATTTCATGTGGGATCTTGTTTTTAAGGATTTATTGCAAGAAATCCGATGGTGTAGTCAAAATTTAATTTAGATGTTTGGTTTAGGACTTATGACTTTTTTTAATTAGTTAAAAGTCACCATACGTGACGTGTCAGAGGTGGGCCTGTGCAGCATCTGTCCCGCGCGCTACCTTCTGCGAAATTCTGGCTGGCGTGGGCTACCGTCCGATTATTCGGACCCTAGCAGCTCCCTAGCGCCATCGGCTGGCTCCGTGCAGATAAGTTTTGTGAAGGAATAATCAAGGTGAAAGTAGGTCAATTTTGGCATCTTTTTTCTAGGTGACCTTGGTATGTAAGGTTGAGTTTTTTTTTGATAATATGTAAGGTTGAGTTAAATGTATGAGAGACCTCTGAACTTGTTAAGAAGTCTTGGAAAATACTCATTCCGTTCCAATTTATAAGTCGCTTTGACTTTTTTTAATACATCCGTTTTACTATGTATATAGATAGCACATCCATCATGGCGCACAGAGCACGTGAGTTGCACGTGTGGACCGGTCATGTTGGGCAATACGCATGGAGGCCCCTAAAAATGGACTCGTCTCCATTTGCACTCCTTTGTCTTGCACCTCGAGTCTGTCGCACGAGAGGGAAGAGGTGGACCCTCGGAGCAGACGAAGGGCGGCAATCAGTGGCGATATTGGGATCTAGCGGAGGATGAAGGAAGAGGGGTGCGGCCGATGTAAGGGGAACCAAGAGTTGTGTGTTTGTGATCAGGGGTGCGAATCTCAATGCTTAGTTATTCCAGAGAATTGAAGCTGAAATATCCAATGGCCAGCAGGCATTGCAAGACATGTGTTTGCCCATTCTAATTAAGTGCACCTTGTGCCTAATCTTTGGACAAACAGGACCCTTCCATACATCCCCACAACTTTCTTTTCCTTATTGCAGTACCCTGTCATCAACTGGTTCTTCACTTTGTTCAGTAAGATGTCACATTTAGTATGTGCTAAAAATAGCTCCCACCCAAGTATATAAAGCCATTGCATGCTTATAGAAATGCTGGGGAAAATACATAAGAACCGCTGCGGCGAAGGCATATGGGATTGGAAACGCGTGTAACAGGTCATTCTCATTATCACAGAATGCACTTCGCCATGTCTGCTGATATAAAGGCTAGTGGCAACAAGTTTACATTCAAAACATCAGTACCCAAAAACCTCTCCAGCAACGATGTAGGCAGCATTACAAGCATCACTCAACATTGCAACCTGTCAAGCGAGGGAGAGAACTACTGAACGTCTCGAGTGCATACTTCAAGGTTCGGTGATGCAACAGGCCTCAGAACAAGTAGTGCAGAGTACATTTCAACAATTATTTCTAGAAGGTGCAGGTCTATGCGCAGAAAGTAAACCATGGTGAAATATAAGGCCGACCATCCGCAGATCGCATTCACAACCCCCTCTTCAGTCGACAATCTCCTCCGACTTCTTAGGCTTTGACAATAGATACCAACCCAGGCCACTCAGGGCAGCAATTGTGCCTGCCAGGACAGCGTAGTTCCTGTTCTTGTCGGATGACACACTTGCAGACGCTGACTCTGTTGGCCCGGCCCCGGCCTTCACGTCACTTGCTGCAGAGCCTGTGGTTGACGAAGCTTGCTCTCCTGAGCTGGGGCCCTGGAATCAATGTTGCAGCTTGTGTAAGAGCGACAGACAGTTTTATGTTTTCATAACCTCCAGCAACAATACAAAAACACATAGCTCCTACTCAACAAGTCAACAAGGGCAAACATACATATAATATATAACCAAAGAAATGCACCAGTAAAGCGTTCATGATTCCAAGTAAGAGAATTTGTAGAACACATAGCATCAACAAAGCAGAAGATTATGATTGAGCCAATGTTCATGAGATCGCTAAATGGTAAACAGTTGGGCACCTATCATTTAGTGTTTAAACAGTGTGTAAACGGACTACACTGGATTCAACACAAAAGTATGCTACCCAATCCAATGCTTAGAGATATTGTGTATTTGCATACCTTGCGTGCGAGCTTCTCCAGCTTCTCTTGTTCCATTTTCTGCAGTAAAATCAAAATGCAGTTGGCGTGTTATTATCATGGCATCAAGAAAAACGGCAGGACATATTCAAAGAATAAGAAATAACCCCAAAAAAGGTACCTAAGGATTTCTACTTCAAAAGAGGCAATGAAAAAGCTTATCCAAATACCACTTGAGCAATTATCACGCCATGTATGGCACCTAAAGTATAAACTTTTTACAGTTGAAGATATCAAATGAAGCATTCACTTTCAATATTCAACATGCAGCACAAGTTTTCACTGCAGTAATGCAGTCATTTTCAATGCAAATGTCTATCTTACAGGCCAGGCACACACACAAAAAAAGTAACGTTTCACATATATACTAGAGATTCCCAAATTCTGGAACTCTTATTGTATTACTGAATTACATACTCATAACTAGTTCCATTCATCTACATAAGCCAACAACAACAACAAAGCCTGTCAGTCCCAAACAAGTTGGGGTAGGCTAGAGTTGAAACCCACCAAGAGCCCCTAGTCACGGAAGCACATAATCTACATAAGCCAACAAAAAAAAAGATGATAAAGTCCACATAAGCCAAAAGTGTTTGATAAAACTAACTTAACTTATTGTAGGTTCAAAAACTCAGAAAAATACTATAGATCCAATACTATAAGTGAAAATACATTCACAGAGTGTGATAGAAGTTTTGCAAAGAGTTAACCAATGAAATGTAAAACCAGAAGCAAGTCACAAGAATTGACAATGTCACAATATACCAACAAATTGTAACATAAGCGTGATGAAGCAAATAAATATAAATAAATTAATGTATTGCTGGATCATGGGTGCAGAATACTATCCCGATGTCACTAACAGACATGTCTACACCACCACATAATCTTGTTCAGCAGTACACTTGCAGTCTCTAACTACACTATAAGAAGGCAACCTTTAAGAAAATTCTCATGACACATCCTTGCAGAGCACATATGAACAACAGGCTCCTATGCCTTCTTTTATTTTAGCATTGTTAAAACTAAAATTTTAATAGTAACACGCGCAAAACTAACTTTTCAAGAAGTAGCCATTTTTTGTCACACCGATGAGCTTGGTGTGACCCTTAACTTGGCCATGCCAATCCGTTTGGAGTGACTCAAGGTGAGTCACACCAAGATGATCGGAGTAATTGTCATGCCAAGTAGCCTGACGTGACTCACCTCTTGGGTCACACCAAGCAGCTTGGCATGACCAAGTTGGAGGAGTCATACCAATTGTTGGTGTGACCTAACGGTCTAGAACTTGAAATTTATTTTGCACATGCTAGTATTGATTTTAAATTAAGAAAGGCTAAAATAAACAGATGGCATCAAAATCTAATCATAACAGGCTTATGTGGATAGCATAACTCTTAACACCTATGGCTTAAGGTTTACAAGTGAAAAACTGCAACGCAAACAACATTCACATTCATGATTCCAGAAACAAATGCTTATATGGATCACAAAATATTTATGCACTAGTTCACTAAAAATGATGATGGATGCTTTGTAAGAAGACAAGAAAAATAGTCAGCTAATGAAATCATCATATACAAAAGAAAATAACATATATGCTTTCAATGAGCCCACAACAATCTGACAGTAACAGGACCTTATAGAGTGACCTTCATAATTCCAGAACCAAAAACAACCGACACTCAGTCAAGATCATAAAAACAAATAAGCATGCATCTCAAACAAATGCGGACCAACAGGAACAAAAGTATGGCCCGGTAGACAGCCACCATAAATTGATGTGTTACTGGTTCAGGAGTGCAGGATACTATCCAATTTCATTAACAAACAACATGTTTTAAACCACACATAACCACATTCAGCAGCATAAGAAGACAACCTCAAAAAATTCCCCAAGCCACAACACTTGCGGACACCACCATGAGTGCCAGGCTTGTATGGTAGACAGGCCACATCAAAACAAGTATTTCATGCAGTACATCTATCAGAGCATCAGTATAATTTTTAACAGCTAAAAGTCAAAACCTGCTACAGTCACGGCGTTCATATCCATGATGCAAGAAGCACATATCCTTATGCAGATCACATCATCACAATATATTTATGCATCAGTTTAGTAGTACAATTATGCATCGATTTGAACATTAGTTTAACAACAGGAAACTAACCAGATACACGACAACAAAACAGAAAATTAGGATGTATGGATTTCTCAAGCTGAGCAATAACGCGGGTCTCTATGAACCAATTTGGTTTCATGCCCGGAAGGTCAACCATGGAAGCCATTTTCTTAATAAGACAAGTTATGGAGCGGTATAGGGAGAAGAAGAAGGACCTACACATGGTTTTTATTGACTTGGAGAAGGCTTATGATAAAATACCAAGGAATGTTATGTGGTGGGCTTTGGACAAACATAAAGTCCCAACGAAGTACGTCGGGCTCATTAAGGACATGTACAACAATGTTGTGACTAGAGTTCGAACAAGTGATGGAGACACAGATGACTTCCCGATTAGGATAGGACTACATCAAGGGTCAGTTTTGAGCCCTTATTTGTTTGCTTTAGTGATGGATGAGGTCACAAGGGACATACAAGGGGACATCCCTTGGTGTATGCTTTTCGCGGACGATGTAGTGCTAGTTGATGAAAGCCGGACAGGAGTGAATCGTAAACCGGAGTTATGGCGGGAGACTTTGAGTCCAAAGGTTTTAGACTTAGTAGAACTAAAAGCGAGTATATGAGATGTGACTTCGGCACTACTACTCGGGAGGAGGAAGATGTTAGTTTGGAAGGTCAAGTAGTGCCTAGGATGGATACCTTTCGATATTTAGGATCAATGCTACGAGAGGGATGGAGATATTGATGAAGATGTTAGCCATAGAATCAAAGGTGGTGGATGAAGTGGCGGCAAGCGCCTGGGTGTCCTATGTGACAAAAGGGTACCATGAAGCTAAAAGGCAAGTTTTATAGGGACGGCGATTAGACCTGCTATGTTGTATGGTGCGAGAATGTTGGCCTCTGAAAAGACGACATATTCAACAGCTAAGTGTCGCGGAAATGCGTATGTTGCGTTGGATTTGCGGGCATACAAGAAGGGATCGAGTTCGAAACGATGATATACGTGAGAGATTAGGGGTAGCGCCAATTGAAGAAAAGCTTGTCCAACACCGGTTGAGATGGTTTGGACATGTGCAACAGAGACCTTCAGATGCACCGGTGCGTAGTGGAATCCTAAGTCAGGATAGTAACGTGAAGAGAGGCAGAGGAAGACCGAAGTTGACTTGGGTAGAGGCAATAAAAGGAGACTTGAAAGGATGGAATATACCCAAAGACTTAGCCTCAGATAGGAATGCTTGGGAGACAGCTATTCACGTGCCTGAACCTTGATTGTTTCTGTTGGGTTTCAACTCTAGCCTACCCCAACTTGTTTGGGACTTAAAGGCTTTGTTGTTGTTGTTGTTGTTGTTGTTGATGGATTTCTCAAGCTATCATAAGCTGTGATTCTATCACCTAACTAGTAGTGTTACCTAACAGTAGTGCAAGATAGATGAGGCCTTAACGTCAATAAAAGGAATGAAAAATAGCTCATATAAAAACCACGCTTTCAAACCAAGTATAAGCTCAGCAGTGAGTCCTGGGATGTCAGTAGGGAGCCAAGTGAGTTGGTGCATGAGCCCGCATATAGCCCATTTTAAGTGTGTTACAACAGGTAGACACTTAAAATAGCCAATTTGTAAGTTCATGGGTCAACCAACTTGTGTCCCTACATGGAACCCTACTTGGTAGAGTGACTGAGTGAATCACCGCAGCAACGATTCTACATGAACTAGTTCCAGAAACTAAAAAACGCACAATCTCAGACATCACAGAATCAAGTAGCAGATATCTCAACAGAAACAGTACTAAGAAAGAACAGAAGCAAGGCAGAGACAGATAATCCACATAAATGGACACTGCAACAGGACCACTCCAATGTTAACAACAAGCAGCCGTTCACACCAGACACCACACATAACCCCCGTCACCAGCACAATCCTTTTCCCTTGAATCACACTACAACAAGGAAGGACGTCTTGCTTCCTATAAAAGCACGGTTTACCTCCGTAGAAAAACCCTACAACTACAACAAGGAACCCTAGGGGGGGAAAACTCCATTCTCCACGTCCCAACACGCGCGGAGGTCACCACAAGCACGCGGTCACACAGAAATACCGCATCACAACTCCGCTCCAACACTTGCGGAACTAGAGGCGAGTCCTAAAATCGTATCACCGGTCACATACCCACAATCGCGTATCGATCAGGAACGGCAGGCTCTAGCAGGTAGCCAGGTACCACAATAGAGCAAGGAAGGAAGGGCGAGAGAGATAGGGGAGAAATCTGGACCTTGATGTACACGTTCTCGGCGGCCTTCTCCTCCTCGCTGAGGACCTTGCCGCCGGAAGACAGGAGCCTGCGCTGCAGGAACCTCGCCGCCGCCCTGGTCGCCATCGCTGCCGATCGAGAAACCCTGGAAGACGATGACGTCACCCGCTCCCTTGCTCTCCGCTGCGCTCCCCTTGCCAATTTGCCCTCTCGAAGAAAGAAATGAGTTGCTGGGAGCGGCTTCTGGACCCAGGACCCCCCTGGACCTTGGAACGGAATAACAACGCCAGGCTGTCCTACTTTTTTAATTTTTGACCCTCCTAATACTTTTGCATGTCCTTCTTACGGAGTGTTATATAATAAATAGATAAAACATGGAGTACTCTGCATGTATGCGTAGCGCGTGCTGCAGTGGTAGGGGTGGTGCTTCAATTTTTGTAGACATGGGGGCGTAAACGAGTATATGCATCCCCGAAAATGCAGTTCCAGCCCTCCGATCGGATCAGACGGTGGAGAGCACGCATCACCAGCTCAAAACCCTACAGCCTGCTAGCTGCAGCTTTTTTGGCTGCGGCTGCGGCTGTTTTGTTGTAGCTACAGTAGATATATCAATTGATTTCTTGCAGCCGCCGCCGCCGCACCCTCCTCTCCGTCGCTCGCCTCGCGCCTCCGTCATGGTGCATCTCTCTCCTCTCCTCTCCTCTCCACTTACCCGCGGCCCGACCGTCTGTTGCTGACCGTTTCGGTTGTTCGCTCAGGCCCCGAAGAAGGAGAAGGCCCCGCCGCCGTCGTCTAAGCCGGCCAAGTCCGGAGGCGGGAAGCAGAAGAAGAAGAAGTGGAGCAAGGGTAAGCAGAAGGAGAAGGTCAACAACGCGGTGCTCTTCGACCAGGCCACCTACGACAAGTTGCTCTCCGAGGTGCCCAAGTACAAGCAGATCACCCCATCCGTCGTCTCCGAGCGTCTCAGGGTAATGCTACATCGCCTTCACAGCTTCACATGGATGGAATTCCTGCTGTCTACCTTACTGCCTTCCTGACGATAGAGCCTCAATGTGGAAGTTGTGGCCTGTATGTTTAGCATGTGGTGAATGAAATCGGATGATTCCCCAAATGGTACGATAGTACAGTGAATGACTAGCGATACATACTGTAGTCTCCTGTAGAATTAGAGCGTCAGTTTCTGTCTTGTATGTTTTACATAGATGGGTTAGATTTGCATCATACAGGTCTCTAGTCCGTATGTTTTGCATAGATAAATTTTCTGTGTCCCGCGAAACAATTCTTCATGCTTATTTTGACGAGGGCTGTAGAACTTGTTTAGCTATTTGGATACAATTGTAGGAAAGCAGCATACTTGTTTGTGGCCTGCCAGGTAGCATTTGCTTATCCTGTCTTCATTTCAGTTTATGTGGCTAATTGGTTAGATTGTTTATAAAATGGTTTGCAACCAGTGCAGTCATTTGGGATTAGGGTGTATATAAGATCAGTTTGGAGTGTCCAATCTGTCTGTATTCTGTGTAAGGCTTGATGATTTTATACAGAATCATGTTTGTGTTTTGGTAATTACTTCATTAGCTTACAGAGTTAACATGAATTGTGTTGCAGATGAATGATTCACTCACATGTCTCTACTTACCATTTGTAAGACCTCATTTGCAGTCCTGGTACACGGATGTTCATTGTAGTTTCTCATGTGGTTGAGTGCAATACAGCTTTGTTTTACCATTAATCGCAGTCTTAGGATTGTATGCAGAAGTTAGAATTACTGTTCTCCATCTAGAAGGGTTCCATTCCTCAGAGCATTTTTCCTTTGTGTTTGCAAATGTCTCAGTTGAGTTTGCATTTGGTGCATCGTCTAGCATATGTTTCTCCTACTTGTGCTGTATTCAATTTATCTCATTAAATCCGCTTATGAATAAAGCAAAGTTTTGTTTCTTTTGATCCACAGATTAATGGATCCTTGGCACGGAGGGCCATTAAGGATCTGATGGCAAGGGGGCTCATAAGGATGATCTCTGTTCATTCCAGCCAGCAGATATACACCAGGGCAACCAACGCATGAGGGATGTTTTGCATATTGTCGATGTTATCTAGTCTAGACGACTTGGTGTTGCTGTTATATGTCAAGTTTATTTCAATCATGGCTCAGTCAATCTTACTGTTGTGTTGAATGTTGAATATTTTTGAAATTATTGTACTATTTTAAGCTCATGTTGTCATCCAAATATATTTATCTTGATGAGGAATATCAACCTATCTCTGCTCTGCTATTTGACATGCTATCCAAGCTGTTTCGTGTGTTATCATGAATTCAGTGTTATTTGACAAATGCACGTACAGTCCTAGTATCTGTGAGATGTTTCGCATCTGTATGGACTCCCTCTGTTCCAAATTAGAGGTCATCTATATATCTAAGGATAGTGTATATCTAGATGTATAACAAAAGTTATAGTGAGATGTATCGCGTCCTGTACTCTGTTTATAAGTTGTTGCTATGTATTTAAACATACAATATATCTAGATATATAGCAAAAGTTATGTTATCTAGATATATAGCAACAATGATGTTGCTTAGAAAAACTAAAACGATTTAAAATTTTAGAACTAAGGAAGTAGTTGTTAACAAGTCTGAAGGACATATGTTATATGACTTTTTATTTAAATTACTAAATGTAGTTAAATGAATATTACCACTGACCTTAGAAATTTGCTGAATGTTTTTAGATTACACCATTAATTAAGGTCATGTTGGTATGTGCTTGCCATGGGACCTATCTATAACTTAAAAGGAGATGAAAGTCTAATATATACGTTGAAATGGACTTAAGTCTTAGTGAGGCTATGCTTGTGCAAATTTAGTGAGCGCAGCTAGCAGAGTCTGTTTTCACTTGTAATCCTACTGAAGCTATCAATCTACCAGGTTCATGCGGCCTATCTGACTTGGGCATGTTCGGTTTGGTGGGGATTGAGAGGAGATTGAAGGCAGTTGAATGGGATTAGATCTCTTCTCAAATCAAAGGGATCCTCTCCAATCCTCTTGGGAAAGGAATTAATTGAACAAGGTCTTATAAAAGTAAAGGAGATGAGGTGAGTGTTTTTAGGTAGCAGGCATTGATGCTCTGTAGGAGGCATGTTTATAGGTAGCCTATTAGAGATGTTCTAATCAATTGAATACCTCCTCCATCTAGGAATTATAGATTTATAGGTGTGTTTTCAATATACACGGGGCAAATCAAATTTTACATATTTCGATCAATAACTAGTCAAATTATGAAATTTTAGGGCATAAAATTTGGGTTTGCAAGGTATCTCTCTATCTTTTAGCAATTGACAACGTATTGTAAAAGAATTTGAAATCTGGCCTTAGTCAAAATATGCTTATCAATTATGAACATAGGAAGCATAATTTAAGCATCATGCACATTCAGTGCATTCTACCCTAGCGTGAACACATAAATATTTATTTGATTGGAAACGATTTAAATTCCATCAGCAGTCCACGAACTTGTCTCAAGTTTTCATCTAGGTCTCAATATTTTCAAATTGCACATTCAACTCGCTAAACTTGTCCCAAGTTCTCATCCCGGTCTAGGTACTTTCAAATTGCACGTCCTCCCTAAATTTGTCACGAGTTCTTATCTTAGTCCCGGTACTTGCAAATTGCATATTCAGAACCCTAAAGTTGACTAGTGTACCATTATGGTCCATCTACCCCTGCACCACCGTCCTCACCTCTGCCACACCACACATGCCCGCCTTACCCATGTAGTCACGTAGCACTGCACCATGCTCGCCTTGCTACCCCGCGCCTGCCTATGTTGCATCATCGAAGGTGGAGTAGGAGTGAGTCAAGCGAAATTGAGTAGGGCCACGGTGGTAAAGGCTCTGCTGAGACGTGCGGTTGGGCAAACACGACAAGGGCGGCCAAGCGGCATAGCAAGTCCTAGGAAGCGGTCTGCACATCACATCCCTCCTGAGCTCCCACCGCATGTCTCGTTTGCCGTGCACTACACCACTGTGGGTGGACAAACACGGTGCAAGTGCAACACAATGTGGTCGTACGAGTGTGGTCGGCACATGCAACACAATGTGCAATGGGGGAAGATGATGGACCAGGATGGTACATTAGTACAAGTTTGGGGAGCTAAGTGTGTATTTTGAAAGTACCGGAACCGAGATGAAAACTTTAGCGAGCTAAACTCATAGTTTAAAAGTACCGGGATATGGATAAGAACTTGAGACAAGTTTAGAGAGTTAAATGTGCAGTTTAAAAGTACCTAACCGACATGAGAATTCAGACAAGTTTGAATAAGTTTGAGGACCGCCAGTAAAATTGAATCTTATATATATACTAGTGTATACTGATGACGAAATAAACGACAGATGCAACTTCTTGTTGTATAAGCTTGTATTAGGACCTAATTCGGAAAGATAAAATTACGAGGATTTATAGAGAAGAAAAGAGTAAATATTTAGTAACTACTGCTCCAGTTCGCGGGTGGCGCCGGCCTCGACCGTGTAGTCGAAGTTCTCTGGGTCGGTCTTGACGGCGACCTCTGCGGAGCAGTGGATGCACTTGAAGTAGAAGCGGAAGATCTTGACGGTGCCGATTACAGCATGTTCGCTGATTGGTTTCACAGTCAAAACTTATCAGTTCAGCCAACCGTGTTTTCCTCTCACAGCAAACCAGCACCAGTCCCATCAGTGAACAGGCTCGTAGACTGCAGGCGTCGCAGCGGAGGCGCATCGGCAGCCTCAGTCGCGCTAGGCGCACGCGCCTATCCCTCGGCTTGGTCAACACCATATCTATCTACGCGAGGGGGGTGCTGCCGCTGCGGCGTCGGAAACAGATGGGCGAGGTGGCGGCGCTTGATCGAATCTTGGAGAGCGGCGGTGCTTATATAAGTCTTACAGTCCTACGGACGAACCCACATTACCCTTGCCTTCCTCCGTCAAGTTCCACAAGGCGTTTAAGCACCAAGGAACCCTTTTTGCTCCCGTTAATCCATTTACTGATCAGCATCCCAAGCCGCAAACGGGCGACGACGAGGAGGCCAGGGAGGGGGAGATCTGCTGGCGGTGCGACGGGGAGCCCCGTGTCGTGTCGGGATGGGCTTCCCGTTTCTCCACCCCCTGTTGAGACCTTGCTAGATCAAACTACAACTTGTTGCATTGGTGAAGCGTGGTCGCGTGGAAATGATAACAAGTTTACGATCGCGGGCCTTGAACCACCATGCCAGCACGCCTACGTGTTTCCTACGGTCTCATCCGCCAAACTTAATCGACCTGAAGCCCAGTAGGCCAGTAGGAAGGAGAAACGGCTCCTGTGCTCTGAAGGTTGAGCACCTTACGTTCTGATCAGCGCAAGAGAGAACTTGGTAGCAGAGACAGATGTCATTCATCGATTTTGATTTTTGATACTCGGGTTGATTCCTATTCCCTGGACTCAGGCCATACACACAAATCCTCAGGTTGCTTACTTTCACATAGTCACTCAAGTAATCCGCAATGAGAGGCACATGCATATAATCAGCTTTCAGTCCAAAGATGCACATACAGTATACTTTTTTTCCCCTCTTACAAGTAGACGCGGGTAAAGGGAACAGGCATGGTTACTGTACATCAGTGTGATTTATGGTCTTCCTTATTCGAGGAAGTCTCACATAAGTTGCCTACAATCCATACGTGCGTCTCAAGGGCAGGCAGTACATACCCACAGTACTAATAATATTATACTAGTATTATTTACATTTACAGCTGAAGCAATGGCTACAAGGCAGCGTGAATAAAAAGCACATGGTTAACACTAGCAACCCTTAGTCCTATTGTAATCTGGAGGCAGGGATGGACATCTTTCGTTCATGTGGGCATAGGGCTTCATGGTGTTGTATCCAGGCAGCTCCATCCGGTACCTGCCCTTGATTTGGCAAAAGGGGAGCTTCACATCGTCATCCTTGTTGCACCACTCTGGAAGTCGGGTGGAGTTGTCCTCAAAAAAGTTGAGGGTGTAAGCATCTTTTATCTGCAAAATATGGGAGAAATAGATTTGAGAAAGACAAGACTCAGCCAATAGCCTCTGTATAAGCCTCTATTGTCAGAAACTCAAATGCACAAGACTTGCAGGCAAGCCTTCCCAATCCACCCTCTTTTCTCCCTAAAAAAATGATAGGCCAGCGTTCCACTGTGCACTAGAGAATGAGATAGATGCATTCACGAAACATATGTCCCCACCAGATCCTTTTGCTCTGACAAAGGTACCTATATAAGGGCATAGACTTGAACACAAGGATTCAGGAGCACTTACTGTGAATTCGGTAACTTCAACAGAGCTGGTAATAGGGTCAAAGAGTCCAGCCTCCTTGTACATCATAAGGACGAAAGCTATACAAGATGCTGACTGGCCATCTTCATAGACCCAACTATCATTCTCAGGGACAGTTAGTAACTTGTCAAATGTTATCCCACGTTTCTCTGATTCCACTATGATTTCAGAAAGGTGAAGACCCTGAAAATCAAACAAAAGAACTAAATAACCATAGAGCGCAATAAAATGAAATAATTGAATCCAAGTTTTCTGTATACATGAATAATTAACACAGTATAAAAGTGTCAATAGGCCTCAAAGAGTGAAACTACAAAATAGTTATATCAGAAGATATTAAGCAATAAGCGATGACAGTTGTATATACATACAAGAAGGAATCCAGGTACAACTTGAGTACTTGACCCCCATAGTCTGAACACAAATGTCTAGCACATAACGGCATTTGCATTTCTACCTATAAGCCCCTTATGCTCACACAAGCAGGCCACGTGAGCATAGTTGACAAAGTTAAAATTTTCAGTACAAACTAAAGTGCCCTAAAATGGACTAAGCAGGAAACTCAAATCTGCATCCATGCTTAGCAAAGGTTCTATACTTCTATTTCAGAACCTAGCTAGAACCCAACCTACTCTATAGAAACCCTCTACAGGATGGCAAACATGAAAGGTGTCATGCATCTCGATCCTCTATGGTTTCATCTCCATTAGAATGGCTAGATTTAACGTTGGCTCGCCACGCCTATCACAGCCCTCCTCCTTTACCAGGGCTTGGGACCTGCTATGTTGAGACAACATAGGCGGAGTTTCGATCCTCTATGGTATCAGATTAAAAAGGCTAGGGATCTGATCAAGTGTGCAGGATATCCGAGGTTACTAAGATGGCCAACTTGAATTGTGGTATTACCTATCCAGCTATACCACTATTTATTGCCACAAAGTTATAATATACAAATACGGAGTACCTTACAGAGGGAGGCATGTATGAGTAAGATAAACAAAATCTTCAGCACAAAGTAGTGAACGCTCAAGAAAACAAACAGAAAAAGGTTAATAATGAAATTTGTCTGGCTGCTGCTACCAGCTACGCAGGTGTTTTCGGCTAGACCTCTCCATGATGGAATGGAACTTCAGTTCTAACTGAAATTTGTCTGGCTGCTGCTACCAGCTACGCAGGTGTTTTTGGCTAGACCCCTCCATGCTGGAATGGAACTTCAGTTCTAACTGAAGAACTTATCAAACTTTGTCTTGGATCCATTCCCCAGGCCCAGCATAAACAAATCCCTGATACAGCTAACAAACCAAACCAAGTACCTGGGATCAAACTGTCACTTATCTGCAATATTTAGTCACTGGCTGCTCTCCTCTTTGCTACCTGTGCAGCAGCATAATCATTTAAGAGGTGCTGCTTCTTCACCCTCAAGTGTGCTATCTATAACTGCTAAACTAGCTATTACAGACTCGAATTTTGAGTGAGGTGCTAGGGAAGTGCAAACAATGCTCGCACTGGACCACTAAACACACGAAAGGCTGAGGCTGGAATTCTCCTTGTGCAAGTCATGTCAGACTATTTGTTTGTTTATTTTCAGCTGCCATGCCACCTGAATTATCTAGCAACTCAACTTATGTCTAAAACCTCAAGTGATATGAAAGCAAAGGTAAGGCACTTGTTTAGACCTTTTTCAGAAGTTAGGGAACTAAGATCAGCCATCATGCCATGCAGAAATCAAGGGTTGAAATTGTCTATGAATCCATAGGGAACAATAACTTGTACAGGAGAACACCTAGAAAAAATACCAACAAACAAATTTAACCAAACCTTAGTTCCAAGCCGTTTGTTAAGGGCTTCTTCCCACATATTACCAGCATACTCTGGTTGAAGCTTGGTCCATACAGTCATAACAGAAGCAACCTGTGGATCATTCATAAAGATTTCAGTAACAAAGCTAATAAACCATTCACAAAATGCAGAGTCAAACCTAAAATGTTAAAAGAAAAACTGGAATAGAAACCACTACCATGTTTAACGTGTTACTATATCTATCGTAAGGGCTTGTTTGTTGGAGCTACAGTTCTTGGGCTTTTGGCTCAAAGGTTGGCTTTTGGGTTTTTGGCTTTCTGGCTGTTGGTTTTTGCTATTGACTTTTGTAATAAACTTTTAGTTCTCAGCACACCAAATGCCAGAAAAGCTCCTCTGAGCATGCTTTTCAGTTTTCAGTTGAAGCCAGTTTTCTAGCTTTTCAAAAGCCAGCGCAACAGCTAGGCTGTTTGTTTTAGCTTCTGGCTGGCAGAAGCCAGCAAAACGCTGAAACATACAGGATCTAAGAATCAGAACAGTATTGTAGTGAGTAGAAAATTAGTCGGGTGAACTTGCAGTACACACCATCTAACACAGGACAAGATATACAGCACATATATAGCCAGGTTTAGCAGTAAAATGATCTTCAAAGCTGTACATGTAGAATCATACCACATGAGCATCTAATGGTGGTGGATAATTATCACTGATGGTATCAATCCAGCTAAATATCATATTGTGATACCCATAAGGCTTCCCATTCATGCTTTTTGCATAAATCCAAGCTGCTGTCTCATTAAATTTTGCTCGCAAATCTGGATGCAAAGGAAGCAGTGCAATCTGAGGATTTGAGTCATCCTTTGTCACTTCAAACTCCCACCATTCCTCCCATGGCAGGATAGCAATAACATCTTCTCCCTGCAATCCTGCCATTTGTTAGCTTAATTTTGGACATTGAAACTACTCCAGTTCATAAAGAAAAATTGCACTACATTGGAGGGAACCCATTGCCATTGGTACACAATGTTCTATAAGATATAGTTAATATAGTCACCTAGTCAGATAATGCTGAATATCTGTTGAACTCGATTATTGCATGCAATAGAATAAAATATGAAACAACTAGCTATGCTGGAACTTGCCCAAGTTGTATTCCCATAGCATATAATTTGCATCCAGACAAAACAGCTATGGTTGGCACTTGGCAGTGGCATTCCTTGTTTTGCCTTTCCTATTTTAAAGTTTTATTTTCTGTTCTGTTAAGCAAATATCTGAGATGCATTCAGAAGATTTGGGAAAACAACATTATCCATACAAATTTAGATTTTTTTTTCTCGAATACGCAAAAGATTTGCGCATCATTGTGATTATGGTAGAAGAATTTAATCATACAAACGACGCACTTCAGACGAGCGCCCTAGGAGGTCTAGGGGACATTTATAATTTTAGATACAGACAAGAAAATGAATTTCTGGTTAGTACATGCTATGCAAAGCATTAGAGTGTATCCTAGTGAAACAGTCCAAAATCAAAATTCATATTGTGCAGTAATTCATTCATTCCATGAAATTGTTGGCAAGCATATTGTCATCCTTTTTTTACCATAAATTAAAGGGGACACTTTAAACATCATTTTGAATCGAAGAGTTACAAGCTAATCAATATAACCGAAACTTATCATCCAACATTATCTTCATGATGTTTATTCACAGATATTTAACATGATTGAGAGTTAATATTCATTCTAATTCGATAATCACACAGAAGAGAAAAGAATAAAAAATGAATAAGATGGCTAAGGACCAGACCTGTTCATTTTCATTACCAGATTCCCCAACCCAAAGCTTTCCATCAGAGTCCCTAAGGCAAACCGCAGTATGGCCTGCATAAGCGCCAGTAACCCACTTCTCCAGTGTTTCAAAACCACCCCAACGCCCACGAATCTTTGATAAAACCAAGAAATCTCCAGAGTGGATATCATCAGGATTTAACTCTGAAACCCAAGGTTTCGGCCGTTCCTCAAAGGTGGCACCCATATGCTTCTCGAGAAAAGCAAGATTCGCATTCTCACCCCATGCAGTATTTGTGAACAGAGGGAAGACCTCCCAAAGTGCTCGAAGTGTGCCAATTGTTCCAGATGGCATGAGGAAAATGGACACACCATTATGTTTCACCTATTTTCAGGTAACAGGGTAGAGGATTTGTATCAACTATGGATTAAATAAATAAGAATTTTTGTATTGATGATGTATAAGTTGAAGAATATTGATCATATAAAGTAAAGCAGAAGTGAATACTTACATATTCATACTCAGCCTCACTTTCCCATTCTTCGAAATCAAGAGTGTGCTCTCGCCCCAAAAGTAGTAATCCCAGGTAACTCTGTAAGGTGTTGCAAATACATACAGATCTATGCAAGTCCAGCTGTGTGCTTTGGATGTCTACGGAAAGCATAGTCGATTTTAGACCAACATTAAGGCAAAGGACCTCGCAGAAAATTGAGACCAGAATTTTACTGAAAGCACACTGCAAGTGGAGTACTACTAAATAGACGAGAAAACCGTACGTTTAAAATAATTCGTCGAATTAACGCGATAGGCTTTAGATTGTGTTTAATTGAATTGAACGCAAGCTCAGAATCATCAAATTTCAACTGGTGACCTCGCCCATCACTAGCTCCATCGTCCGCTTACCTCCACATGGACTATGCCGCCTCCGAGGCCCCCGCCGGTCCCGTTGCGGAACTCCACCCATGCCCTGTTCTCGTAGAAGCAGGCGCCTTTCCACTCCGCGAGCGGGTGGGCGTCGTCGGGCCCCGGCGCGCGCGCGGCGCCGACGAAGGCCGGGAGCAGGTCGGCGGGGCCCCGCAGCGCGAGGCGGCGGAGCAGCGGCTGCGCCACGGACCAGGGCAGGAGAGGGAGGAGGTCGCCCGGGAGGACCGGGGCGCGGAGGAGCGCCTCGGGGAGGACGCGGGGCCGGGCGGCGAAGAGGGGGAGGAGGAGGACCAGCAGGACAAGAAGAGCGAGGAGCTTGAGCCTAGACGCCGCCATCATGGCGGCGGTTAGGATTAGGCTTCAGGCACTGCGCTCCCCCTAATCTCGCGGTGGTGGGGGCGCTTGCGGGCGCCGGGCGCGCGGGCGGGCGGCTTGATTGCGTGAAGATGGAGATGGAGTCATGGATGAGTACGGAGACGAGAGAAACTCCAAATCCGAGATCAAACAGCAATTCGCGTGTTCTCCAAGGTTGTTTTAGTTAATTTTCTGTTGCTTAAACAAATTTCTAATTCTGCAAAAGTTGACCGAGCAGTACGAGGCCTCGATGGGCGAATGGGCGATCAGTACAACATTTGGCCAAGCTGTTCTTACGGTTTGGAATTCTCATCCACCACGTCGACAATTCAGCTAAACCAACCAAAACTTGTTTTGCACAATTCCAGGGATATTCCAGCGCCTATGCATACGTGTCCCAATCAGAGAAGTCACTGAGCCAGACACTCAAGGTGAAGAAACAGTTACGTCGCGGGCGTGTCGGTGTCACTCTTCAGGACTGCATCCATCTCATCGCAAGGAATCGTACGTCGCATTTGCGGTAAGACTGTCTCCAACAACGAGCTACACACAACACCTATTCTTATTCTCTGATTTAAGTCATGTACAGAAAAAAAAAGATCCGCACCTAAAATTTAGCTTCTCCAACAGCTAACGCAAATCAGCACTCCGCAAAACAGTGACGGCCGTGGTGCTGGCGCTGACAGCCTCCACCTCCGACTCCCCGCTCCTCGCCGCGACGCCCTCCAACGGCGTCCTCCTCAACCTCTCCGACAGCCTCCACTGCACCTACGTCCCGAGGTCCCATGACTCCTGCTCCATCCGCAGTATCCCCGAGACCCTAACGACGGGCATCCGGATCGCGACGGCCTCCGCAGGCGTGGCCCCCTCCGCCACCACCCCTCCCCCTCCCCTCCCCACGCGCGGGCTGCTGCCGCCACCTTCTCCTCCCCACAAATCTTGCCTCCGCGCCGACTCTGGCCGCGAATCCACCCTAGATCGACGCGGGCGCGCCGCTTGATGTCCGATCTGTGAGAGGGGCTCGCCACCATGAGGGCCTTGCTGCTGGTGGTCGCTTGAGCCGCGGCGAGGAGGCAGGCGCGGAGGGGCGCGAGGCGCGAGTTCTCCTCGGGCTCAAGGTCCACGAGCGGGAGGAGATTCCGCTCCACCCGCTGCATGAAAAGCACCGGCGACCGAGCAGCCATCCGCCACGGACGCCGACGGAGCTAGTCGGCACTGGCGGCGGACATGGCATGGCGAAAGGTCAGAAGCGCCAGATCCCTCATCTTGCGCCTGCGAGCGGGCAAGGCACCCCGCCATGGTGGCCCTCCCTCCACCCCTACGCTGGCGGGGGCCGAGCAGCAGCAGGCGGAGATCTAGGGCGGCGGTGGGGCGCGACGCGGATCTGGGGCAGCGATGCGGAGCCCCCCTCGATGCTGGCCACGGCGAGGCGGAGCTACCGCGCGGCCGCCGTGTTGAGCCGGCTCCGGTCGTCCCCTTCCCTCGTGGTGTTGGGCCTGGCGCTGCGTGGAGACGCAAAGAGACGGAGGGAGGACGTTTAGGCCCTGTTCGCTTAGAGAAATCTAGAGAAATTTGTGAGCGTGAACAGTGTTTTCATCCGGGAACAGTGAAATCCGGCTGGTTTCTCAACCAGCCAAACGAGCCCTTGCCTTCCGCGTCGCCTCCGACCCAAAATGGGTGCTGTGTGTTGGAGCCTGTTTTTTGCCGCTAAAATACTGTGCACGGCGCATTTTGGGAACGGGTCACATTATGTCTACGCTGTTAGAGACCGTCTAATGAAATGTACTGGTTTTGAGTAACTTCGAGGTGCTAGCAATTGATCATTTGTTCCGTAGCATTACAAATATACGGAGTATTTGTGAACCGAATTGTTAGTGCTATTACAACAATTACAAAATCCGGCTAAATTTGGGGAAAGGCGGTCGTACTCGTACCTTGATATGGAGTGTGCCGCCGCCGTACTTGGACCCGCTCTCGTTGTGGAACACTAACCACGCCTCGTTCTCGTAGAAGCAGGCCCCCTTCCATTTCGCCGTCCCCCCGCTGCTGGACGCCGAGCCCGACCCGCCGGCCGTCGCGGCGCCGACGAACACCGGGAAGATGTCTGAGACGCCGCGGAGCGCCCGGAGCGCGGCCATGGCGACGCCCCGCGGCAGGAGGGGCAGCACGTCCGTGGGGCTGAATGGGAGGACTGTGACGGTACCGCCCCACGGCGTACCCACGCGCCCGAGGTATCCGTCTTCCGGTGAGTACGTGGTGTAGACGAGGAGCACGACGGCGAGCGAGGCTGCTGCTGCCACGAGCGGCAGGGCGATGGCAACGAGCTTGCTGCGGTTCGCCATGGTGGTCTACTGGTCCGGTCTACGGCCTAGGGGACTGGGGTGGCGCTCGGGGATTTCTTCGAACGGTTCCGTGTCAGAGCTGAGCAGCAAGGTGAATGGAGACAGGGGCAGCAATGTCTGCTACGCAAATGAATGTGTTGCTTGATTGCTTGTCCACCCAGTTGTTGAATTGTGTGGTTTTGAGCCGGCGAGGGCCCAGGGAGGCTCGGGAATTAATGATTTTGTTACTGTGATTGGTGCGCATTGAAGAAACTGAAGTCGATGGATGTATGATCCATTATACTGCCTCGTCTTCTTTAAAAAAAACGATTCTAAATATTACTCTACTACCTTTGTTATAAAAAAAATTATTCGGCTTAGACAAAATCAAATTTTCTTGAATTTAACTAAATTTATAAATCAACATTTATATCTTTAAATAGATTTTTCATTAGAATCACTTGACTATATTCTAATGAAAAAAATATCTGTTTTTCAAGTGATTCTCTCCCTGCGCGCGCTCGATTTCCTGGACGTCAGATCCTCTAGTTGTTCTAATCTTGTGCGTCTATTCCTCACAACGTCACCTCCGACGCACGCTTTAAAAGATCATCTCCCATGATTTTCAACTAAACGTCGTATATAATTAGTTATTTTTTTATCTACATTTAATCGCCTATACGACAAACTAAATATTGATGCATGAGAGAAAGTGAAAAATTTTGGAGTCCAGCGTGGATGCCTCGATTCCCCCACACGTCAGATCTCTCTGGTTGTTGAAGATCGCGTCCACACAATGGGCCTACGCGGGAGTGGAGGCGCTGTCGTGACTTGAAACGCCACGGGCTCTCTCTGGTTGTTGAACCTCGCGTCCCACTTGCGTCGGGTTTCAAAAACTGTAGTCGCTGAGCCCCACCATGAACCCAGGCCTGCACGACGCCAGGTCACTCCAGTCGGGGGAAAAAACTGCCGACTGGAAGGAATGGACCCAGGCCACTGCCACTGGGTCAAGTACTGGGCGAGAAATTTATAGAAAGCCTTGTAGTGCTTAGTAATTATAGATTAAATCTCATTAGACCATATTTTACTATTTGTGTTAGAGTGTAAGTTTTGTGTTCAATAGATATAAAATGATTGTTCGTAAATGAGAATGATCAGAGTTACTTGAACAATTATATGATTTTTTGTGTTTTTTAATTTTTTGTATGTTTTATTTGGTTTTCCTTTGAAATCTTTCAACTTGGCTTACAAAGAAATAATCTGGCTATTTTTTTTTTGTTTTGTTTTTTATTTTTTTTGCATTATTTTGATAAGTTTTCTTTGGCTCATTTGATCTAGATCCAATGGTCATGACAATCGAGTGTTTCATGATCAGAAACAGTCGATTTTGTTTTTGTTCCCAATCAAGTGTTTAGGTGGCATCTAACACTAAGGTGTCTAAAACACCTAAGTGTCGAGTACACAACTTCTTTTCTAAACTTTAAACAATTATAAACTTTAGACAATCGAACTGATTAGATCATATAGGCTCAAGTATAGATCTAATTCAATAAAAGACTGATATACCCCCCTCCTCAACCTCTCTTTTCTCCCCTATCCAACTTCTCTCTTCGTCTTGTAGTGGTAGCGACACCATCCTCTTGCAGCGCCTCATATGAGCTGGCCCCTAGTGCGGTGTCGCACCTCGATGACGGCACCGAAGCTGCACTCCCTGAGCGCCCGCGTCGCCTCATAGTCTGTCGTGCTTCAGAGCGGTGGGGAAGACTAGCACAACGGGGGATATGTGAGGCAGCTCTGGGTGGACTGGTGCAGCGGCGATGCGGGTGGGCATGTGGCGGCGATAGGGGATTCAACCCCTGGGTGAAGTATAAAAGGAGATAACCGTGAGAGCAAATATGTCTTTTAGGCGGAGGTTCTTTAGACTACATTGGCTCACTTTTATAGTCTAAAGCAATTGGAAGGGTTAGCTAAAATTTAGACATCACTCTAGACCACCTGGAGACTTTAGATCTAAAGTTTAAGGACTAATAGATCAAGGGATCCAAACATGACCATGTTATGAATATATGTTCTATAATTTATCTAATACTCTTTCTACACATCATAGATATTAGTATATCTTAATATATTTGGTGAAACTTAACTCGAGATTTATTGACTCTTCAGGGAAAATGAAAATAACATTTTTTTTGGAACGGAGGAGTAACTCCAACTATTTTAAGATTGACTATTTTCTAAAAAAATATCAATACTATAAAAATACATTTCATAATATATCCAATGATACTTATTTAATATCATATAAATATTAATATTTCTTTTAAAAAAGATTAGCAGGTTGTTTACTACATACAGAATTACATTCTTTCTGCAGCAGAGGTAGCACTTCTGAGCTCACTTTCATGTTCTTTTTATTAATATAATCTTGATATAAGCATTAGACTTTCATGTTGGTTGCTCGAATCTCTGATAAAGCTTCATGTTGTTCTGCCACACTGCCACACCCCGGTGCCGCCCCTGGTTAGAAAGGAGATCCATTGAGACACAAAGGCTACGTCGCTACGACAGACCAACGTACAAATATGCAAGAGTGCCAAGCTAATAACGCAACATGTAACTCTGATAGTGGCGGGCGCATTGGGTTGTCTCCATTTGATCAGCACGCAGACCCGACAGAGCATCTGAGAACGCCGGCGTCCTTGGTCAGCGACCTTACTTCGTTGGAGCTGGCTGCCGCGAAGGCCTGATGCTTGTTGTAATTCGGCCGCACCCTGCTGCCGGTCTGCTTGAAGAAAGCGCCGTTCTCGAAGGAGTCCCCGATGGAGGCCCAGTCCCCCCCATCCCTCCCCGCCGCCGGCATCCTTCTCGTCACCTTCTTGTTATCTGCTGGGCCGGAGGCCATGAACAGGTTGCCCTGGCTCTTGACGCTTGGTCCCATGCTTCCTCCGATGGCGTAGTCTTTCCATCCCATGTATAGATTGTTCACAACGTGAGCGTAGCCATGCCTAATCCTTGGCATGCGCTGGTTGACGTTGGGTCCGAGCCGGTTGAACGCGACGGTGACGCGCATCCGGCTGTCGGCGGCGTGGCCGTCGTCGTGGCCGAGCAGCATGACCTTGTCGTGGTTGAAGAACCAGTTGTTGGAGATTGTCACGTCGGTGGAGCCGACGGTCACGTCCACCAGCGCGTCCTCGCACCGCGACAGGGAGTTGTGGTCGATCCACACTTTCGTGCTCGACACCAGCCGGATGGCGTCGCCGTCCATGCCACCGGCCACCGGCTGCACGGCGCCGCCGGGCCTGACCGCCAGGCCCTGGGGCTGCGACCGTTAGTCGTGGATATGCAGCCCGAGGACGATGACGCTGCTCACCAGGTACAGCACGATGCCCGCGCCCCCCGCGATGTGCACGTCGGCGCCGCGCCCGTCGATGGGCGTGAAGCTCTTCACGAACAGCGGCTGCGCCAGCCTGATGTGCATGTTCCTCGCGAAGGTGATCCACACCTTCCCGGCCAGCACCGTCGCGCCGTACCGCAGCGTGCCCGGGCGCGGCCGCACCGGGTCGTCGCCGCGGTCGGTGACCGTGTAACGGATGACCCCGGCCCCGCGGTTCTGCCGCATCTTACCCGCGAAGCCCACCGAGCACACGGTGAGCCGCTGCCGGTTCGCGGTCCAGTTGGGCTGGCAGCGCCAGCACGAGTCGATGATGTTTGCGCCGTGGACCTTCGTCAGTGCGCCATGGAGGATTAGAAGGAAGACGACGAGGAATTCTTTGGAGGCCATGCTCGAGACGTGCCCAAGCCTGTTGCGATTTTCGTTTGATAATATATAGAAGACGACGAGGTTGACAAACTTGTAAGACGTTTTCTCTCCATTTTGAGGATGGCGGCGGTTTCAATACATTAGGCCGCAGCAGGGCGAGATGTCATTGAGGCGTTTGTGTCGTTTATTTGATTGAAACTGCCGAATGCATGTAACAGCATTCGCTTGTGTTTATTTGAAGTAAACTCGTAACGGTGTTGGTTAATGTTTCATTGATGAACAGCAATAACCATGGCGGCAATTCTCACATTTATGGATGCATGGGCAAAAATCGAGTGCCAGGAGTGACCAAAACACTGGTTGCTGCTTGGCTGCTTCCGCTGCCGCATCCGCATAGACCATGTCCCGGGCGTCGGCGCGCTGACAGTGGCCCCAGCCCGAACATGCACACCGCGCAACGGTGCAACGGTGCAAGCGACCGTGGGCCATCGCGCTCCGTCAAAGCCGCGAACACGCAGGTTGGAGCAGCTAGCGTGCACGCCGGCGGGCGGCGGCCGGCCAAAAATCAGGGTGGCCTAGCCACTCCCCACTCCACGCGCGCCGACCACGCGATGTCCCGCCGTCGTCCACCTTCATGTCCTCTGTTCATGATCTCCAAGCCCGCACGGCAGACGGCAGGGTGTGATTAGGCCTGGTGCGCGGATGCTGCGTGTCCGCTGGTTGATTTTTGAGCTGATAAGTCCGACTGGTATTGGTTTGTTGTGAGAGAAAAATATTGTTGGCTGACTGATAAGCCCTGTTGAAACAAAAAGCGAACAGGCTGACTGATCGACGGGCATTCGGCCAACCGCGTAAGGACCAAAAGATAAAGATGCATGCTTCGTAAGTTCTTTTGCTTTGCCAGTTTCTGTTTCAGACGTATTTTTCGCATTACTTTTGTTCCTGTAATAAAAGGGAAAATGCCTCTTCTTTCGCGATCGTATTCGTATGCTCGTGGACGGGCGGCATATGAACGGAACTTCAGCAATTGGCCTTGCACAAATTCCTTTCCCACTGCTGAAATGGACCTAACAATTCATTAATTTCCCCTAGACTTATGTACATGTCTGAAAAAGTTTATATCTACTGTACAGTGTACGCCGATTAGTGATTACACCGAACAAGGCGAAAACAACGACGGCTGAATTACTGAACCACCAAATACCGAGAGATCAGACTCGTGTACGTGTCATGACTCGACGGCGACGGTCTCGGGGATGCTCTGCAGCGCGGGCTTCCAGTGCCAGTGCTCCTCCCTGCGGTGGTGGTCGCGGTGGTGCACCTCGCCGGAGTTCATGATGTCCGCCAGCAGCTGCTCCACCGACCGCAGGCTCCCAAGCCCTGGTAGCGGCAGCCCGTGGCCGCTGCCATTCTTCTCCATCAGCTCGTGCAGCTGCCTCTTGGTGATCCTGATGGTCACCTCAGAGTCGTGATCGTGATGATCCTCTCTCCTCTCGTGGTGGTGGTGGTGGTGGTGGTGGTGCTCGCCCTCCGACGACGACGAGGCCTCCTCTTCCTCCTCCCACTCGCCGTCGTCGGCCCACGAATCGGCTGCGCGCTGCGACGCCGTGCAGTTCCCCATGGAATCTGCTTGAAGGCCTTGATCAACTGCCCCGAGCTAAGCTACTTTCTTTAACTTGTTGCTTCTTTGAATTCTCCCCTCTTGAAGCACTAGGCTGCTTTGAGACGGATAAGTAATGTAACCATGGGTTTTGGAGAGTATTTATAGGGCGGGGCTGCAGCGAGGGGAGGCTGCGGTGGGGAAGAAGGCGGCGGTCAGCAATGAGACTGCACATGCCGTTCCGATCCTTCTGCTATTCTTCTCGCCCATGATGTCACGGCCGGGGGAGTCCGGTTCCAGATTCCGACGTGGCGTGCAGGTCATGTCCCAGGTCAGAGGAGCTCATCCTCACCGGGACTCCAACAAGGCAATCGATGTGACAGATGCCTTGCTGAGACGCGTTCCTTCCCAAGCATTACCCGACGTCGGGCTGCGAGGTGGCGTGTGAGTGTGAGTGTGACTGGGCCTCCCTCACCGCGGCTCGGGTACCCAACGACCGAATTTTTTAATTTTTTAGCCTTCTTTTTTAAAAAAAAATCACAAATATATCTCTGGAGATATGATCTTAAAATCTGAACCTTACCTCGACGCCATCGTTGTTGGCATCGAGCTTACACTTCTCGGCGCCATCGTTACTGGCGCCGAGGTCTTGAGCTCGACGCAGACGTGACGATGACTTGGCAGGCAGCTGGGCGCCGTAGATCTTGGCGCCGAGCTTGGCGCCAGGATCTATGGTGCCGAGGTGGTGTTTTAACTCGGCTCCCAACCTTCCTGGCCGAGCTTTCTCCCTCTTCTTTATCCCCCTCTCGGATTTTTTCTCTCCCCACTTTGCTCTACCTCACGAATCGGCATATTGGACCTTAAAAACTTTGATTTGATCCGTAGATTTTCGAGAGCAAGGTATTCTCGCTCCCCTCCTAGTTTTTTTCGCATCGATTCGGTATATATTAGTCGAATTTTTAACCTAAGAATCGTCATTACTTAGGGTTTCATACAATTTTTAATATTTGTATTATACAACCGTAGAATGCCAAGGCATAAAAAAGCTAGCAAACCAAGGTAAACGCAACGCGTGTTGTTATGTTATGGGTTCATTGTTGTGCATCAAATGGGAAACCCTAGGTTTAGGGTTTAATGTTAATTGCTTTCAGTTCTTGGAACGAAATTGGTTGAATTGTAGTTATGGCCGGATGACCGGAAATGCCTTCGACCCATTGCCTCTGCCTAGTGGTGTTCCAGTGTCCTTGTGCTTTTGCGGTGATCCTTGCAAGGTAGCCAAGTCTGATGAAGATGACACGTATAGGCAGAGATATTAGATGTGTTCCAATTTTACGTTTGAGCTTACACTTCGTCAGCGTCGCATTAACAAGATGGTGAGGAATTAATGTTTGTGTCATATGACATCTTGCATTATTTTTTTGTTTTAAAACAATTGTATTTTTTGTATACCCCTCCACCGCTCTGTGATTTTGAGCAATGGATCGACACTGAGATCAAGCCTGAAGACAAATAGATGCAAAACTGTTGTGGTGGGAGGCAGAGGACAAGGAGATGATGGAGAAGAGACGCAGAGAGGAGGCTGCAAAAAAGAAGCACAAGGAAGAGGAGGAAAGGATGCGTGTTGCTACGTACAGGGAGGAGAGGGAGAAGAATCTTGAGCGTGCACGCCGAGCGAAAGCAACGATGGAGGAGAATCCCGATGCCCTGGGAAAGAGAAAGTGGCCTTGTTGCACTCAGTAGTCTCCATAACTTGCTAATTCTATGGTTTATACATGAACAATGTTGTCTACTGTCGGCACGTACTTCTAATATTATTGTGTTGTTTAATGTGGCATAATATTAAACTTTTTATTATGTAGGTGTTTTCATTATTTGTGGTCATAATATTCAGTATAATGTTACGGATGTAGTGAAATATGATCACGTGCTGCAAACACAACCTAACGAAGTAGAACATTATATAACTCAACACACAAAATACATGAAATGACATGTGAGAACATGTACCGAACTAGGGTATAGGGTTCCTTCAACTAAACTTAACATGCCTTAGGTAATTAAACCAAGCAACAAACACATAGATGTGCTATGTGAATAAGATAGGGTCGTCCTAGTAGTGTGGCCATATAGCAAATTGTGTTACACCTTCTCCACAGTAGCCTCCCATTGTTGTTGGTGGTGGTGGCTGGGGTGACGGCGGAGGCCCCTTGTTCTTATGGTTAGGGCATGTGTAATATGGATCATTACAGAGTGTCTCATATGAATCGGCACCATTATTGTTGTCGTCATGTTCGTCGTCCTTGTAACCGCTGCTAACTTCCCTTTCTAGATCGAAGATACAGTCCTGCAGGTAGTAGATGTACTCCGTATGCGGATAAATAGATCAATGATCAACCCACCTAGTGAACCCATAGTTTTCTTCGGCCAAGAAAGACTATAATAAATATGTCATGTAAGTTGTATAGAAGAAAAACATATTGAAGAAATAAAATAGTAATAACAATTACCCATACTCACGTGCATTTAAAGAAACGACGATATCCATCTATTACCTCGATGAACATATGCACTAGGCAGTCCTCACCATGCATGCATTTTTGCCATTCTTCTTTTCGTTCATCGTATCCTCTCAGTGGTGCCTTTTTGGTGAAATCACTTTTGCTCTCAACTGAGAACCTCTCATAAAGAGCTTTCTCAAAGAAATCGGGACCAAGAGAACCCTCCCACACAATGATAGTTTCCTTCCCCTTTCCTCTCCTCTCTGAACAATCCTCCAGACATTGGTACTGCAACGAAAGAAAATACTAGTTTGGTAGTAAGTAGCAATGCATCCAGCATTGCGTATATATAGGTAGAGCCAGATTTAGTTGTCGTTTCAATGTGTTATAACTGATCACAAGAAGACTAATTAGTTTCACTAAAGAGCCTATTTCAATGGACACTGAAAAGCCTAGATTTGTTTTCTGAAAAATATATTCGTCGTTGACATGATAAATCACTGAAAAGCCTAGATGCTATAAGTGTACTATGTAAGTAAAGTGATAAATCGCTGTTGTCATCGTACTCCTTATCCTTATAACTAAAAAGTCTATTTTCATTGTCTGAAAAGCCTAAATTCGTTCGCTGTTACTGAAAAGCCTAGATGGTATAGGTGTACTATGTAAGTGAAGTGATAAATCGCTGCTGTCATCGTACTCCTCGCCTAGTAACTTAAAAGTATATTTTTATTGTCTAAAAAGTCTAGATTCATTCGCTGTTACTGAAAAGCCTAGATTCATCTGCAAAGCGTCTGTACGATACGATTGTACTATACACGTTCTAATGAATTTATATTTAATCTGTGTACTACATTTGTGTCTTTTTAGTAGTGTAGTATAATTAATGATTCATAGAAAAAATTCGCAAGAGTTTATCTTGTTTCAGGAGCATCCACAGTTACAAACAGAGACATCATTATATAATCCAAATATTTAATCATCCAAAGAGCACAATACAACTACATCGAACATCACAATCAACATAACATGTCCTGCATAGTCCAAATAGTCCACAATATTCATATAGTCCCAAATAGTTATAGGAAAGTAACTACAAAATCCATAATATTACATACTAACATTTTCCAGAAACCCTCACTGCTTCCTAGTCTTACCTTTACCCTTGTGACCAAGAGCGCTGGTACCTGGAGTGTAAGGGTCAGGTGGACGGCGTCGCCTACTGCCTGAAGGCTGTGTAGGCTGAGTCGAGGGAACATCCTAGAGCTGAGAGGGGCCAAGCTCCTCGTGCCTCTGGTCCACGTCGTCGTCATCCTTGTCCTCGTCCTCGTCCTTGTCTCCTGTAGGTGCTTGGCTAGAGGAACCTAAGCCTCTTATGCCTGCGGAAGGAACGTACACGTCTTGCGTCGTTGGTGTCTTGCAACCACAACAAGCAGTCGCACGGCGTAGTCGATGTGATAGCCTCTGTTGTATAAAATTATGTTAATTAAAAGAATCTAACGTATTAATAATATGTTTGAAAGAATATTTAGAATCTTACGTCTAGGAAGCTACGCGTGTCATCGTCTCTGACTCTCGGACGAAAGCGCTTAATGTCTTTAACGGAGCATTTGAGGGTATTACCCTGCAACAAAGTTCTCAATAATAATACTTCTCAACAGATAGCAACATGTTTTGTTTTTTTACAAGAATCTAATGTATTATAAGGATGCTACGGCTCGGAGGCGTCACTAACTAAAATAGATACTTCTAACGCATAATGTATTGATATGCAACTTAACATAAAAAATAAGGTAATTGACTTACCACTCTGTCCAAGATTGGTCCTGCCTCCGCCTGCCTTTCTACACGAGTAGATTGGTCGTACGCCGTGTCTTCATCGTTGGAGGATTCGATGTCGGCGTAGTCATCTTCTATCCATTGTAGCCTTAGCCTACAACGTGTTGCACGTTGGTACCAAGCTTGGTAGCGCCTGAACTTATGGTTCGTGTGCGGCTCGTTGTTCTCGTCCATGTTGTCGTGCAACAACTCCCATTGCTCAATGTAGTACTGGTGGTGCTTCACCCAGTCAAAAATATTTCTGTTCTTCTGACGATCCAACCTGCACGTATGTCATCATTACTTGAATCCATATACATGTCACCATATTAATGGAAATAGACCATCACAAGACAATTAAAATAGCAAAACATTTACTTTGTAAGTCAACGCCAGTCGAGAACGGAGCCGTTGGCCAAAGCTGTCTCACTCAAATTGTCGTGCAACTCTATCTGGCAGGTGGAACTCGACAGCATAAAAATATATTAGAGGGCACCTTATCCTATAGAAGTCGTCGTCGCACCCACACATGTTGCTCAACTGAATAGGAAGTGCCCCCTCTCCATCGTACGGCTTCCACGACACCCGCAACATGTCCAAACAAGATGTTAGATGTTATACTAAACTATTTCAAATCAGCATAGGAAATAAAATTTACTTACACTAGACGTCGTGAGCGTGTCTAGCTCGTTCGTGAACTTAATGTAT